TAGTGGTGTGCACTACCACACACAGAAAAAACCCCAAGTGTTAAAGGGGAAATTGGTCTGAAAATGACTTGACACAGGTGCACCTGGACTGACAGCACTGTAAACTGAGGACACGCCTCGCCTACAGACATCCCAGCTGAGTAGCAGCACAGGGCACACAGTGTCAGGTGTCCCCCCTGTGATTGTGGGGCTGACAGGAGCCACGGCTCGAGACCTTACCCAGGGCCACTAGAGACTGCGCCACACATATTGCTGGCCCAGGTGAAGATCCACAAAGTTCAAAGTACGGTTTCTACTGAACACACACTGCTTTCACACCAGCAGGAACGTGGAAATCAAGTCAAGACACTATATTCAGGGCTGCATCTAGGCTTGTTTTTTTAAAGTAAACATTTTATTAAAGAATACCACATACTGAAAAGTGCACAACACATTTCCACAAAGTGACTCTATATCCAGCAGCAGCTCAAGAAACAAGGTTCCCTGTCCCCAGGGCCCCACCACCACCCATGCACACCCCATGCAGTTCCCATCCCTCCCACAAGGCCAGAATCCCAGTGTCCTGGCACTGAGTGGCCTGCCGGGGACAGAATTGCCTGGGTGTGTTCAGCATGGGCTGTTAGCACCGGCTGCCCGCAGCACCTTGGTGGCCGTGTGCCCTGCTGGTCTATGCCAGTGCCGGGGTATGCCCAAGGAGACACAGGCACAGCACCAGGATCTGCCCCAACACCTGAGAGGTTCTGGTCTGTTTTCCCTCTTCCTCACGGCAGTCCTTGCCTCATGCCACGTTACTCTTGAAGATTTGCCAGGATTCCTTCAGGCAAGGTGGGTAAGCACCCAGACTGATGCCAGGGCTCATTAAAATACCAGTGAACTTGCTTTAAGATTCAGTTGGGCCTTGAGGCTCCAGGCAAGCGCAGGCCTCTGCTGGAGCACAGCTACTGGTGGGGGCTCCCAGGTAGAGGAAGCTTCTGGCTCCGGTTCCAGTGGGCAGAGCGCCTGTGCCCCCAGGTGGCAGCACAGGGAGGGAACAGTGCTCTGCCCCAAGGCTAGAAAGTGCCTTCCAGTGAGAGGCTGGGCCTGCTGGTGTGAGCGGTGCTTGGCATGGTGTGAGGAGTGGCTCTGGCCAGACACAGTGCCCTTCTGACCTCTGGGTCTACAGGAAGCTCCCTTCCTGCACAGGGGCTGTCACCGCGGGCTTCCTACTCCGGGCAGTGCGTCACTCCAGCGCTTTGAGAAGGCAATCAACAGGCACGGTGGGGCACACTTGTAATCCCAGCAACTCAGGAGGTGAAGGCAGGCTGATCCAAGTTCAAGGCCAGCCTCAGTTATTTACCAAGACCCTATCTCAAAAATAGTATTAAAAAGGGCTCAGAATGTGGCACAGTGTGAAGTATTCCTGGGTTCACTCCCCAGTACAAAAACCAACATATTAGGAATGACACCAGAAATGACCTACCGAGGCCTGTCGGGGAAGCCCGGCTCCCCTGGAGAAGTCACTTTTGCAGCCACTTCAAGGTCCTATTGGGATTTGCTCAGCAGGGCAATGGCTGTGCTTCTGTGAGGAACAGCAGACGTTGCAGCTGCCCTGGCCTAGGGCTCTGAGGCTGTGGTCACACCCGGGACACAGCCATCTTGGGCCCAGCATTTGGAAGACACCTTCCAGCAAGAGCCTGGCCCTAGCCTTCACCCTCAAGGCTGGCGCTGGGAAGTGAGAAGAGCATTCCAAGTCTCCATGTGCCAAGACAACCCGGAGCCTGGGAAGCTTTCTGGGGACCTCAAGGCAGTCGGGCCTGGCTCTCTTGGCCAGACGGCTTTTCGCTGCCCTCTGCTGGGTGTCCATGTGCAGCAGCGGCAATTTCTCCAGAGAACAGCAAGAACTAATGAGGGGGAAAGGTGCACACACACACCTGGCCCCAGTCAGCACTGCACAGCAGTGCCCATGAGAACCTCAGCGGCCTCCCTGGGACTCCAGAGGCACAGCCCTGGAGGGGCAGTGGGAGGGCTCAGCGCTGCAGGGCTTGGGCAGTTCCTGGTGTTAACGTTTGCATTGGTGCCGTCTTCTCTCCCTCCCATTTTGGGACTTCCTGTCTGTAAGACCACTGGCCCCAGTAATCGGCCTCAGCCTCCCAGTCAGCAAGGTTCGGTTTTTACCTTCTACTTTTTCAGGTCTTCATTCAGTATTTAGTTCCCAAAAAAGCCCACCACCATCAGGACGGCTCTGCCAGAGCCGAGTCTGCCTCTCCCCTGAGCGGCGCTGGCCTGCACACAGGTGTTTCCTGGTGGCTCGGCTGCTCAGTTAATTTGCTCAGGACTGAGTGTCCGTGTTTAGGACATGGTCGTCACAGGCTGGCCTGTGTGGGCGCCTCAGCCACACTCTTGAGGCAGCTGTTTGGTCCATGTTCTGACACTAGTGAGGGGCCCTCCTGGCCATAGGACATTGTCACATCTCACCCTTCTTCTTTCCAATGAATTCAGACACCGAGGTGATCTCACAGACAGACCACAGGGTGCTTTTAAAACAAGGAACCTTAAATAGTCCTTACGCTTTCCGGTTCTTTATCTGCAGGTCTTATTAAAAATGTCCCAATTTCATGAGCCTTTCATGAACTTCCTCTTTATCTTTCCTACAGAGTGATGCAAACGGGACCGCAAAGCCGCCCTTTCTCAGGTATGTGTGACTCCTGGAGCAGCTCTTCTGAGCTGGTGCTGCCCTTGCCTGGGGGAGTGGGCAGCGCCCCAGCCCAGGAGGCCCAGCCTGAGAGGGCCATCATCCCCGCCTGCTTTGCCCTTCCCGGCATCAGGCCTAGAGGGACTGAGCACTTGTGCCCTGTCCAGCTCCTGTTCCGGGTAGTTACCACACGCAGCCCCCCTCCCAGCACAGGACCACAGAGGTGTAAAGCTTTGGAGTGTCCCCAGTGGGTCACATGGAAAGGACTGCAGACTTTCACAGAAACATCATTCGAGGCTTATACACATGGGGAAGGTGGGGAGCGCCACAACCCAGAGCAAGAACAGGGTTAGCAACTCATTTTAAATGGAATTCCTGTCCTGGAACAGTTTGTCTATAGTTTCCCCCTCCCTCCTCTACAGTGGAGAAAATCCCTTTGCTACTGTGAAACTCCGACCAACAGTGACAAATGATCGATCAGCACCGATCATTCGATGAAGATGCCCATTCGATGAAGATGCCACAGATCCTCCTGGTCCCTCTGATGTCGAGTTCTCACCTGCACAACAATAGGTCTATACTGACAAGTGCTGGGACTGTCGTAGGCTTCACCCAAGGGGGCCTGATTTCCAATGTATCCTACTTGAGCAAATCAATGCATTTTCTCAATTTAGTTAGCATAGTTGGGTTTACACATTTCTGTCTTTAAGATAAGTGAATAATAGTTTAGTGACCAGCTCAATCATTTGAAGTATTTTTTCCTATTCTGTTTAAAAAAAAAAAAAAAAAAGCATATTTGGTTCCAATCCTTACTACATCTTTAATATTCTGATTTTTAATAATAACTGCCAGAATAAGGGATAGTCTATGCTTTCATGGTTGGCTTCTGCACCTAAATGCGAATGAGACCATGGTTTTATTTTACAAAGCATGTGCTCTTAAATAGCATTATAACATTTATCTAAAGAAAATATTGTATAAAGTTTGCATCTTAGCATGCAAATCATAATTTTAAGCAATATAAATTATGAAAACATCATATTAAAGGTAATAATTTTTTTAACTTAGAAATTTTGAACTTGTGGTTAAACATAGAGCTCCCCAGAGATGGAGGACTCCTGGCCTCCCTCGGAGTTGCAAAGTGCAGACACAGCTCACCTGCCCTCTGCACAGCCACACTGGGCACTAATGAAACCGTCCATAAGAACTACTGAGTTCAGTGTTGGCGTCACAGCTGGATTCACAGTGGGCCACCCAGGTCGTCCTCACCGTGGGCTGGCGCAACATGTGACTCCAAGGGCCTTCTCCCTAAGCAGGGTGACCAAAGCTGCATCCACTTAACAAACCTCTTCCTAGGGGGCCTCCTCGAGGCCAAGTTCCTCTGCAGGTGGCACTTGTTCCAGCCCACCACTGTCAAGCACTCAGCTTCAGGCCTTCTAGGACCAAATTCTGGTCAGGTCTCTCTGCACACTGCCCCAGGCCAGGGGCTGTGGCTTGACCCTGCTCCGAAGGATCTGTGTCTGATCAGTGAAGACTAGAGGGGGGCAGGAGGCGGCTTATAGTGGCTACTTTGATCTCAGCATATATAAATCATTGTTCTGTAAATCAGAAGTTGGTCAAGGTCAGGTGGAGGTGAACCAGTGCATGTGAGACTCCCGGCTCCTTCCAGCTGGCAGAACAATGTCTCAGGCTCTCCTGGGAGACGCACAGGCACCCCCCAAGAAGGGCTGCTGCAGCATGACTAGTTAACACCCTCCCAGGACAAGGTCTGGGTTACATCATGAGCAGGTGTCACGTGGCACTGTCTTTAAGGTGCCCCAGCTTGGAAAGAAAGCAAATTTTTAAAATCTATTAAGTGGCCCACTGCTGCTCCCACCATTTCAGAAGCACAGGGTTAAGGGAGTCCACTGTCTTCAGCAGCAGAGAACGAGTGAGGCCCATGGTTTGGAAATGGGGGGTCCACACCCTAGACTTCATAGCTCCCCATTTGGGAGTTTTCTTAAGCTTTGTGACTTTGGTGTAGTAAGGGCCCCCCCCCCCCCCCGCCAGCCCCCAAGGTCATTCATTAGTTGCAATGTGCAGCCCCTACAGCCTGGAACCAGGGCAGCTATTCCTAGTCCCGAGTCGGGAAGGTGCCCGAGGTGCGTGCTCTGTAATTGTTGGGGGTCTTGTGTTTAATGTTGAATAAAGAATCTGAAATACCCATTCCTGCGCCATCATCAGTGCCAATGAGAAGACGGCCACTCACGGGCTCTGCATGTGTAGTTTCCCCCAAGGAGACTTCCCATGGGCGGCAAGCGCAACGCCAAACACGCAGGACCCGCTGAACAATGGTATGAATCATTTATTTAAAACAGTATTTCTCACCTTTCTCAAATCGAAGACTGCAAAAAATAAAAGCAGTGCTTTCTTGAGTTGTCATTAACCTTGGGAGCAGCCTTCCACATTCTGCCAAGCTGGCACATGCCAATCTATCCCACCTCACTTTACAAAACAGTCCTGAAGCTTAATCAAATAAAACTATTATACACGACATTTACATTAGAAAAGAGCTGGATGTAGGAAAGCCAGGTGTGTTGTTCCCTTAGGTAAAGGTTGCTCCACAGTTGGGACATCTTCGCTTCTTCAAGGCAAAACAGCAGATGAACCCAAAGGGAAACAAGATGATGGCCAGGAAGATGCCCAGGAAGGTGAAGCAGTCCTCCAGGACCCCGACTCTGTGGAGAGAGGGGGCGGGCGGTTAGGACCCCAGCCCTCCCTGCCTGGACTGCACACAGGGCAGCTGGGACCCACAGCAGAGCTGCCTGGAAAGGCGGCCCGTCCCCAGGGTCCCCCAGCAGCAGCCTCAGCTGAGGGCACAGAGCAGCTGCTCGAGACAGGGCTGCTGACACCAGCTTCACGGCCACACCCTGGCATCTTTTACACCCCCTAAAGGGCAACTGTCCCTAAAAAGTGATGAAGTCTACCTACAGTGTGCATGGCGGAGGGTACCAAGACACTGGGGACACCGCCCTGGTCCTATGCCAGTGAGCACAAGTTCATTGACCTGAGTCTTCCCACAGTCCTGGCAGGTGGGAAACAGGCTTATGCTCAGCACTTGGGTCTCCCTCTAGAAAGTGCTGGACCCAGGGCTGAAGTGATAAGTGTCACTAGCACTCCCCTCCAGGCCTCAGAGGTGCTGCCCCCTATCCCAGGACTGTGGCCCCGAACTCAAGCACTGACCTGGGTCACAAGAAACTACAGAAAGGACAGAAGGACTGGGGTTGGAGAGGGGGGGAGCAGGGACCTGCTGGCAAGGGTTGCTTTCCTTTGTAAAGCTGAGGGGAAAAATGTCACCATGGCCCTAGAGGATCCCACTCCCTACCCCCCTACCCCTATCCTAGCTCCTCTTCTAGCTGCCCACCCTCCACACACACACACACACACACACACACACACACACACACACACACACCCCTGCCCACAGTGGCCTGGAAGCAACCGTAGTTCTCCTGCCCCCTGGCGGAAAGGAGGAAGGGCACAGCTTCAACCAAGGTGTGAAGGTGGCAGAACTGAGGGCTCTCACCAACTCAGGCCACAGCAGCAGCCAACAGAGGCAGGGACCCAGGGACCAGTACCTGCTTCTCTGGGGCACATGAAAAAACAAACCGGAATATCCCAAAAGTCTGTTTTTTTGCTTAAAAAAGATGTCAAACTCAGTGCCCACCTCCCTCCAACCCACACAAGGGGCATGAATAGTGAGTCCCAAGAGCACTTTCCACCACACCTGGCTCCGGGTGGCTCTGCAGAGAAGGGAAGGTAGGACTCTGGTCTCTCCCCTCCGGGGGGTTCCAGCGTCCACTGGCTCACAGGCTGAGTGCCCTGGGTCAAGACTCCTGGGGAGCTGGGCCTAGTGGCACACACCTGTCTGTAATCCCAGAAGCTCAGGAGGCTGAGGCAGGAGGTTTGCAACTTCAAAACCAGTCTCAGCAACTTAGCAAGACCCTAAGAAATCTAGTGAGACCCTGTCTCTAAATACATAAAAATGGCTCAGAATATGTCTCAGTGCTTAAGCGCCCCTGGGTCAATCCCCCCAAAAACAGACTCCTGGGGAGCTCTGTTCCAGCTCTGCTTCCCTGACTCCCAAGAGCTGGCCCTTTCTGCATCAAGATGGTGGGCCAGGGTGGAGCACGGAGAAGCCCTGCTCTGAGGCCACACAAATCAGGTCTGAGTTGATGATGGCAAAGTTACCACTGGTATGACTCCTCTGTGTAACACAAGGTCATTAGGTCACCACACTTGGGCCTACCCTTGGTCCCCTGCCTCCAGTCCAAGGAGGGTACCCACTCCCAGTGTGCTACACACAGCATGCCCCGACCTAGGGCCCTGGCTAACCAGGGGTTGGGCAGGGCAACCCAGATGAATAGCACCTGAGGCCACGCTGGTGTCCTCAGCCACCAGCTGCCCCCGACACAGATGGATGGGACAGGGCCCGGGGCTTAGGACCTCTACCCTGGCTGAGGGGGGCCAGGTGGCTCCAGACCACTGGGAGCTTCTGGCTGCGCGGCCCTCCCCACCCCGTTCTTCCCACACCTGCAGGTGAAACCCTGGGGACACTGGTTTGCATGTTTCAATTAGAAAATGTCCCATGAAAAAAGCAGAGGGCAGGAGAGGGCCAGGTGAGTCAACTTCCAAAGAAGCCAGTCCCTCTGAAGGGGTCCCAGGGAGCCAGGTCCAGCACCTCTCCAGGCTGTGAGGAAACCAGGAGCCTGTGGGGACCACCGAGACCTAAAGACAGTGACCAGCTGAGTGCCTGCCGGGCTTGTTCCCATAAGGATCAAAAAGGCAGAGCGAGGAGAGCGCTAGACTCTGCTCACGGGCTGCGGAGGAGCTGCACCCAGGAGGGCAGCAGGTGGCACAGGGCTTCCTGGCTGCAGGCGTGAGGGGCTGGGGTGGGCTCCTGGTATTGGCCTGCGTCTCATCCCCACAGACCATCCCAACTGCAGCCTGCTGCTGTCCTCGAGGTTCAGCACTCAAGGGCACAGCCCCACCCAACATCCTGATTCTCTCTCCAGACTCCAAAGCCTTGGCCACATTACAGAAGCTGGAGGGAGCCCAGGAAAGGTGGTCACTCCCGGGCTCTCCCTGCCACCAACTCACAGTACCACCTGAAGCTACGATTCCCACCAGTGGCCAGGCGAGCTTTCTGGGCCCAGCTCAACACCCAGCACCTCATTTTCTCAGTCCCTGGAGGGGCACTTAGAACTTACAAAGTAACAGAATTGTGGCCTACACTGGCCAGCCTGGCCCTTAGCCTCCAGGCACTAGGGCAGCTCATCCTCAGTGCCCAAATTCATGGGTTTCCTGTTCAAACCCACTGCTTCCTTGAGCCAGAGCTCAGGGCTGGGCAGCTTATGCCACCCTCCACTGACCTGGGTCACAAGAGCCAGGCCTGATGCTAGAAGTGCCCAGCAGCACCCACCCGCGTAGCTTCCCACACTCCCGCTGCCCAGGCCTGCCTGTTCCATCTACCTTCATCCCATTGCCAGAGAGGGCCAAGGCTACCTGCGCTCTGGGAAGAGTGAGGATGCACCCCTCAGGCCCATCCATGTGGGATTATCACCCACAAGACTCAGGTATCTACCAGCAAAGAGTCTGTAACCCAGGACCCAAGAATGCTCGTCCCCTGACAACCTGCACCCATGGTCTGACCTGGCTTCAATGGGCCCAAGGGATGGAGACGACACCAGCCCACAGCCTGCTTCAGAAAGCTGCTGCCCTGAGCCTGGGCTCAACCTGAGGCCCACACGCCCTCCACCCCAAGATGCCACTCGCTTACCTGCAACCCCAAATGCCAAAAAGCTGGGAAAGTGCAACTTTCCCCAAGTTTATAGCAAACTCACTGGAAGCGACATGACCTGAGCTCCTGTGTGGCTATTCAGAGTTTTAATTTCTCCTATTTAATGTAAGATTCTCATCTTGCCATAGAAATATTAATGTTTTAACTACAGTACTGCCCCAAACCTCAAAAAGTGTTGGCATGGTTTAGATTTTTAAAACCCAACAACTTCTGATTTAAAAAGCATGACCTAGCTTCGGCACACAAGACCGCCTGTGTGGAGACCAGCCCCTCCTGCCAGCCTGGCCCTGGTGGCCTCGCACTCTGTCTCTCCAGACCCAAAGGCAGCCCCACGCTGCAGGAGCAAGTTTCAACTCCCTCAACTGGCTCAGAGTCCAAACCCGCAGTCCTTCCAGCTGCACTGGCAGGTCCCTCCCCCATCCTTGCACACAGGTCACGTGGGGGTCGGAGGATTATGGAAGCTGGAGACACTAGGGAACTGACTAACACTGAGAACGCTGCTTTACCCCCACTTGAGCCTCTCAGAACAAGTGGCCACTAGAACCTGCTGATGTCAGCCGGAGCTGGGCCCTGGGGGGTTCCAGATGAACTCCGCCTCACCAGGACAGAAATGGGCAGAAGACACTGGAAAGAGCAAGCTCTGAGCTGCCCAAGGACAGGTACCCAGTCAGAATTGTCCCTACCCCTCACATGTCCTCACATCACAGAACTCCATAGGTGTCATCACCACCCCACCTGACAAGCCAACCCGAAGCCACCTGCAAGGCCACATAGCTGGGAGTGTGGTGACAGGAAATGCAGATGGGCTCCCCAGTCATGGTCCTGCCCAAAATGCCCCAGCCTGCACAGGGCACTCAGGAGCCTTCCCAGTTCATACCCAGTCATTTTCTCCTAAGCTCAAGGCACAATCCAGCCCCAAAAGCAACCCAGCTCACTCGCCCCTGAAGGACAGCCTCCTCAAGAATAAGAACACGTAAGCCCACCACAGTGGTGCACCCCAGTAATCCCAGCGGCTCAGAGACCGGGGCAGAAGGATCGCAAGTTCAAAGCCAGCCCCAGCAATTTAGCCAGGCCCTAAGCAACTTAGCAAGGCTCCATCTTAAAGTAAAAAATTTAGGGGCTGGGGATGTGGCTCAAGCGGTAGCGCGCTCGCCTGGCATGCGTGCAGCCCAGGTTCGATCCTCAGCACCACATACACACAAAGATGTTGCGTCCGCCGAAAATTAAAAAATAAATATTCATTCTCTCTCTCTCTCTCTCAAAAAAAAAAAAAAAATTTAAAAAAGACGTGGGGATGTGGCTCAGTGGTTAAGCACCCCTGGGTTCAATCCCTGATACCAAAAAAAGAAAAAAGAAAAGGAACACAGAGGGCTTCTTCCCTGGGCCACAAACCTGCAGCCAAGGCTCAGGACCAACCTGCCTCTGGCTGTCCCAAGGTCTCCAACCTGAAGGCCCCCTGAGCATTAGGTTCACTTGGACCTGCAGGCCACGCAGGGCAGTTCTCACCAAGCCCAGCTGCCAGGCCCAGCCTCGGGCCTCCCCAGTGGAAGAAAGCAGACCTGGGCAGGGCAGCATCCAGCGGGCTTCCCAGAACACCAGTCTGTCCCACCAGCCACCACTTCAAGGTGCCCACACTACCACAGCTGGGGGACTTGGACCGAGCAGAGACTAGGCAGCCAGGGAGGCAGCCCAGGCATCCTGTCATCAGGCACCTTGGCCAGCATGCAGGCCAGGGCACAAGCTCCTGCCATCATGCACAGTGCCTCCACCTCAGGCCAGGACCACCCGAGGCCAGGGACAGCCCCTACCACAGCTCAGGCTGTCACCTCCCTGACCAGTTCCCCACCACAGGCCCTTGGCCACCCACCATCACCTGATGCCCAAGGCTCGGCCACTCCTTTTCCCCTCCAGACTCCATAGTCAACCAAAAGAAAGACTGTCTCTGCCCCCAAGGGCTCCACACGGACCACCCAGTGCCACATCCAGGGCCTGTGGGCAGCGTCTGACCAGGGTACCTGTACTTTCTCTTGGCTTCCAGGACCCCACTTCTGTGAATTTCCTCCTGCCTCCCTGGTCACCCCCAAAGCCAAATACTGAATGGCAAAGACTCAACCGGTGCTCCTGGGCAGCTTCACACACGTTCTGCCTGCAGCCTGTGCTCCCAGGGTACCTGGGCCAGCACACGGTGGCCCAAAGAGGCTGCAGAGACCCACAGTGCTGCCATCCTGCCCTATATCTAGGGACAGCCTAGGGCAGGGGAGAACCGAGCTTCAGAGGCCTAGCACCAGCATGGACACCCCTGGCCAAGGCAGTTTCAGCAGGCCTCTGCAGGGCAGGGTACAGGAGGTGGCTTGGAGGAAGCAGGCACAAGACTCACTCAGCTGCTGGGGGTGAAGAAAACACTGCTTGTACACGGCTAAAAAGGGAAAATGGAGTCAGGCTGCTCAACAGCGGCTCAGACAGGATGGCAAAGTGACAAGCGACATAGGCCTCTTATGCCAAGCCTCGCTCAGAGGGAATCACAGACGTGTGACTTGGGCAAATTCCTGCCAAGCCACCAGGGAGGGCAGGGACAGAGCCTGGCAGGCCCGATGTGGAAAGAGAGGAAGTGTGGTCACATGAGAAGTATCCTGTCTCGGTCCTAAGATGCCAGACAGGGGCAGACTCGACTCTTTTGGGAGGAACATCTCTGTTCTCTGTCCCTATGCACAAGTGGCCCTAGATCACACACCCTCTCCCCAAATCAAGAGGCTGCCTTCTCCCAGGCTGGCCATGTGGCTACCCACTCCCCTGTTCACCTAGGATTCCTGCCTGAGAGCAGGGGGCCCCTCACCCAGTGAGGCTGCTGCCACCGTGGCAAGAATAGCCTCGGATACCAGCAGCAGTAAGGACAGCACGTCTCCAGGTGTACAGGCTCCAAGGGCGCAAAGGGCCTTTACTGTCAGACATCAGGCATGCTCAGCCCCGACAGAAGGGCCCAGGAGGATCAAGGAGCGCTCTGGTTCCAACTTTAGGGATCTGGTACCCATAACCTTATCCTCGGAGCATAGAGGAAACCACCAGCTCCCATGAAGGCAGCCCCCCTCCAGACCTTCCCCAGAGTGCACAGCCAGTTTTCCAGACCTGCAAAAGCCACAGCCTCCAAGTCACCTCCTAGAGAAAGGGAAATACCAGGGAAAGTGCTCCCCATGCCAGGAGCTGACTAGGCACCCCACATTCCTGGGAACTTCATGGCCACCCTGCCATGCGCTGGCCTCCCCTCCAAGTTCAGGGGCTCGAGCCAGAGAAGCCTCCAAACCATCTCATCAAACACCAACATATCCCAGGATTGGGAAGCGACCAGCTGCATTGGGCCCTTTGTTCCAGGGACCTTCCTGCTTCTCCCTCTTGTCAACCAGCCTAGAAACCTCACCTCAGATCACTTGATGTCTGCTCTCCGCAAAAAAAAAAAAAAAAAAAAGGCGGGGGGGGGGGGGGCTTGGAATCCAGGAGTTAGTTGACTGAGTGGGGACAGAGGGCCTTGCACACAGCAGCACTCTGAGCACCCAAGATGAACCTCAAAGCCAGAGATTCTCCTTCTCCCACCAATTATCCAGAGGAATTTCCCAATGACTTTCTGTACAGGGGACCAAGTCCTGACCTCCTCACTCATTGGCACAGGCCCAGCTCCCAAGCCATGCCCCCTCTTCTCCACCAAGCCCACCCCATGTGCTTCAAAACCAATCACTGGCATCCCCAGGTGCAGCACCTGCAGACAGCTGCACTGGGAGACAGCCAGTCCCCTCGATCCCACTTCTCCCAAGGCCCATGTGTCAGCGGGAAAATGACCACCAGGGTGTCAGAACGCACACACCCAGCTTGGGTTTGTACTGGGGTTCCTGGGTGGGCAGACAGCCTCCCAAGGCTCTCGCTGGCCCACAGCCCCCTTTACCAGGCACATGGTCAGCTCCCAGGTTCCAGTGTCTCTCCCCTCAACCCACAATGCCCTCCTCATTGCACAGTTGCCCCCAGGGCTGTGAAATCATTAACTTCCCTATGGCTGGCTCCACACTGGGCCTTACCAAGACACTTTTGAAAAAAAAAAAACAGGGTTTCTTAATTCCATCTCAGAGACTTCAACTTACTCCTCTCAGAGGCAGGCTGAAACCTTGCTCCCCAACTCTGCCCCAACTTCCTGAACTGAGTACTCCCAAATGCCAACGGTAGGGATCAAGTCTTATTTGCATTTGAATCCTCAAAACCTGCACACACACACACACACACACACATGCACGCACATGCGCCCACGCACACGGCCCAGCTGTACCTCAGACCCTATAAAAAGTCCTTAGAAAGTTTCTGTCAGGCTTCAGGTTTGAGGATATGAGAAAACCACTCCTGCGCGGAACAAAGAACCACGGATTTCCTCCCAGACTAGCCAGTGGCCAAGAGTTGTTAAGCCCCGCTCCGGGGCTCTGCATTCACTGACCCTCACAGCTGTGGCTCCCCTGGTCACTTGGACTCCCATCTCCCTAAACATAAAGGCCAACTGACTCAAGTCGTGGCAAAACGAATCAGCCTTCTTAAAGAATCAACTGCACTGCAAACTTTCTAAAAAACCCGTTGCAGGTCCAACACCAGCGAGGAAAAGCTATCAGTCCCATTTTGCATGCCACTCATTCGGAGGTACAATGCCCCCCAAAAGCACACGACTCCCCAGCAAAGGGAGCCCACGCCCTTTGCCCTCTTGCGCGCCGTGGGCCAGCGATTCCACCTCTCCCACACTGCAGTCAGGCGGTCCAGCGGCCTCTCCCAAAGCAGGGCTCACCCCAGCTCGCCGCCCCCCGCTGCCTCTGCAAGGTCCCGGCACGTGAGATCTCAGCCTCCCGGGGCCAGGACTTACCTGCAGACCGGGCAGCCTCCGACCACGACGATGGAGTTGGCAGGGTACCGGGTGACCGTTCGACTCTGGATGTTGTAGACCCGGGGGTGGTGGGTGGGGATCCCTGTGGGCGGGGGTGCACATCAGAGGGGGTGGCCCGACTCCGTCCTCCCCGCGACCGACCCCTGGTCCTGGCCCGCCTGGCCAGGCCGCTGCCCCGAGCGCCGGCCCCTGGAGGGAGGGCTCCCCCGGCCAGCCGCGCCTCGCGGACCCCACGTTGCCGGCCAGGGGCAGGCTCCGGGAGGGGCGCGCCGCGGAGCCGCTCGGGGCAGCTCGGCCCCGCTGCCCGCCCGGAGGCTGCCCGGCTGCGGGATGCGCCCCGCCGCCGCGCCCGCGGGCCCACCTGTGACGAGGTAGGGGTAGGGCGGCGGCGGGGGCGCGGCGGGGATGGCGCCGTAGCCGTGCGGGCCGCACGCGAAGTCGCCCTGGCCGGCCTCCAGGCTGTAGGCGGGCGGTCGCTCCTGCAGCAGCGGCTTGTGGTCCATGGCGGCCCGGCCCGCGCCAGCCCGCTCTGGCGCGGTCGGCTCGCTCGGCCCAGCGGGGACGCGGCGGGGACGGCGGCCCGCGGCTCGGCCCTGGGAGGCGCCGGGCGGGCGGGGCGGGCGGGCGCGGGCTTCCCGGCCCTCCCGCCGGTCACAAGACCCGGTCACGTGGGCTGCGCGGCGGGCGGGGCCGCCGGCGTCTTAAAGGGGCCGCGGCTGCCCGCGGGTTAGCGCCTGGCTCCGATCTCCTCGGCGGACCAGGGGCTTCCCTGCCCGAGGAGATCCCGCAGCAGCCCCAGATGCGCCTTGGAGTCTTGATTTTTACGGCCCGCGGAGAGCCCTGGCCTGCCGAGGCGACCTCCTACGGGTGACCACCCACGGAGTGGGGGCGAGGCCCCAGACGGTCCCCGGGTGTGCCCGCCACCCACAGAGCCAGGGCTGCAGGGCACCGAGGACTGGCTCCCGCGGGAACGCCCGCTCCGCGCTTGGCTGCTCAGCTGAGGCGCATTCCTCCCTCTGCTTTTTTTGACAAATTAGGTCGTAGCCAGGGTTGGTGGCACTTATTACAATAATTCCGCCATCTCCGGCAAATCCTAACTACCGGGCACCTGCTGTGCGTCCTCAGGTTTCCCACTTAACTACCCTGCGAGTTGCCTGTAGTGGCCCCGAGGTTACGACGCAGGACTGAGACTCGCGAGGGCGCGGGGGAGCAGTGGCTCCACCCGGGCCCCAACCCGCTCCCGGCTGGCTGCTGTTAGGCCCCTCGCTGAAGCGCTCCCACATCTGAAGCTTAATGGGTTTGGTGTGAAGACTATTGCAAAATTGGAACTCCTAGGATCACTTCCTGCCGCTTTGCAAGGGCTGACTCCGTAGCACTTCCCGTTTTCCGTGCTTTTATATGTAACCTGCATTTTGATTCCGCACTGGGAAAACTACAAGTCCACTCAGACCCGCCTTGTTTTTGATTTTTAATAAAAAACCATCATATTCTCTTCTAAGCCCATTTCCGTCTGTCTTGTAAGATCTCCCAAAATCCCATGGAGAAGAACCAAGTAGTGGGCCATATTCAGGCCTGATCTGCTTTAGGAGGGCAGACAGGTCAAGAATGAGACTGATGGAGAGTGGCTGAGGGGTTTCAGGGTGAGCAAAGGCCCTGACAGTCACTCCTCAGAGACAGAATTCAAAGGAGGGCCAGTGAAAGTGGGAGTCTGTCCAGGGAACGTGTCGTCCAGCATCATCACATGAGAGGTGGTTCCAGGTCAAGCTTCCTAACACCTGGTCAGCTGTGGCCACCCAGATGGGGACCCTCATTCTTCCCCCTGCCCTGCAGACTACTAGTAAATGGTGGTCATCTAGCCCTCCTGATATCCTTTCCTGCCAATCCAGCTCGAGATAAAATATCAACCTTCATAAAGTTCACAGGCTAGTTTCGCCTACCTTTATTCATTGAACCAACAAGCCTCTGCTCCCTTCCTTTCCATTAATTGATTTCTTTCCCCCTAGCATTGCCCCTTGATTTCCCAACATTACTTTATTACTGCTGCCCTTCATTCAGGCAGCTTGCAGCTGATGTACCTCTGCTATCCTGGTTCCAGCCCAGCTTGGGGAGACAAAGATGGCATTCATGGGAACACAAAGAAGGAGCCCTTGGGTAGAGAGCCAGGCCGTAAAGTTGCAACGGACAGGTTAAGAGATGCCACACACAGGAGGTGGTACACCTGAGTATCCTGGAGTACTAGGGCCAGAGCCCATCTTAGGGGCCAGTGGTGAGTTGGTCCCAGGGACCAGGCACAAGCCTCCCAGGCAGGGGGAACCACAATCCCAAAGAGGACACAACAGCCAACTCAGTGCCAGGACTCTTAAATCCTGAAGTGCAACCTTAGGAAGGGTCTCCTGGAATCAAAGACAAACCCCCAGAAGTGGGCCCAGTCATTGAAGTTGGGAGAGCATCCTGTAAGAGCTAATTGGGAAACTGCATGGAGTTTAACCTGGTTAGCAGCAGATTTGCATATTTAGAAAAATGACCAGCAGCAGGAGAGTCAAGAAGATGGAAGGAAAGGTGTGAAGAGGTTAAGAGCCCATTAAGACTCCTCCTGGGTAGAGAGATAAGGCGCTGAGGACTCCAGATGCTCAGGTTTCTGGCTCAAATGACCCTAGATACAGACACCTGCTCCTTGCTGAGGACTCAGGAGAAGTTGCTGTGAGGGAAAGGACCAAGCAGCCCTTTTGCAAAGGTGAATTTGAGCTAAGCCTCATTACAAAATGGCATCTGTTGAAAGCTGATTCTTGCTAAAAGTTCTGCGATGTCTCACAGCTAAAGTGGCTCATCCAAGAAGCATTTATGGAGCACCTAGCACGTGCGTGGATGCACCCAGAACAAAATGCATATTCAAATTCATCCTGCTTATGGATTTGAGTTTTCTTGGGCTGGAGTGGGGGAAGGGAATTAGGAAGTGATCAGTGCTGGCAGGGATGAACGGGCTCAAGGAGCTGGGGAGTGAGGCAGGCAGGGTGGGGAAGAGGCTTGTGATTTTCTTTCTTTCATACAGTGTGGGCCCCGTTTGGGTTTCTTTGTGGTGCTGGGGATCGAACCCAGGGCCTTGTGCATGTGAGGCAATCATGCACCAACTGAGCTATATCCCCAGCCCCCTGGGCCCCTTTGGAAGGATTTCAGCAAAGACCGGAGGGAGGTCAGAGAGGTGGCCATAGACATGGAAGGAGGAACAGCTTAAGTTTGCCTGTTCCTTAAGGAGAGAGCAACAGAATGTTTGCAAGCTGATGGAAACAGTCCAGCAAAGGGAGGAGGAGGATGCAGAGGGCGAAGATGGAGTCTCACACATAGCAGAGGCAGTTCCTGCTAGAATCCTGGATGGCCACCCAGTCATCCACAGGACAAGAAGCAGGAGCAGGCAAACTGCTGGTTGCAGCGGTCGGTGCTCACTAGTCTACTCAGACATGCTGGCCACTGGCCACAGTGCTCCACTTGTCCCCGGCTATCCCATGGAAGGAAGCATTGACATCCCAGTTGCTTATGGAGGAAACTGAGGCACAGAAAGCTTCTGTAGCATCTCCAGGGTCTCCCAACCTTCAGACATCAGATCTACCTCTTATAGCCCTGAGGTGCGCCACACTTGTGCCTCTGCGCCAGATGCACAGAGAGGCACAGCGCTGGTTGGCTGGTTTGAACAGAACTACATTTCTACAGAATGGAATATAGTTCACACAGATCCTAACTCCTTCTAAGCTTATTTTTGAGGTAGCTGAAATTCTGCTCTTTATCCACTTAATGTATTATACAAACAAACAAAAAAGGTTTAGCATTGGTATTGCCATAAAAATAAGTAAATACAATTTTGATTTTGACTGTTTTGTGTAAATGTTTTCTCTGCCGGGCCCCAAAAGGGATCTGGTCAGACAAAGGATCAACTGGCTCCTGCCTGGGGGACCCAGGGAAGTGCCATTGTCCCCCAGATGTGGCAGTGACAGTCGTTGTGACTCTCTCAAATGTATCAGAGGCAACCAAAACAAAGATCGTGCCCTTGAGAAGTGCTGATAACCCATCACGTGAGTTTCTTGGCACATACAGGATCCTGGTATCTCACATGGTTGGGATTGTGACCAAAAAAAGGAAGCAAATATAATTTCAAAATCCAAGGCTGTAACCAATTACAAGTGCCTCACTCAGGGAAGGACCTTGCCAAATATTTGCTGAATATGTGTTAAATGTTTATCTTAGATAAACACTTTTAAGTTTTATGGTAAGCCTGTGGTAAGCCTTGCAATTCTACTGGGCAAATATTTCTAAATATTTTATAAATTAAGCACATAAGTTTCAACATCACACACAAAAATGTCTCTTTAGTTGAATTACTTAGTACATCCTATCATAAGACATATACATACATATTTAAATCCACAGGATTCCCTTCATTCTCTAAGGGAGTGGTACTTGTCACAGAATTCTGCTCACCCAAAGGAACATAGAAAGGCCTCCCTTTGTAATCAATGTTTACAAGCAATCCTCACAAGAACAAAGAGCAAATTCCAAATAGCAAGTTTCTGTCTAAACAGTTTTCCACGTCACCATGCTTGGAACTCCTGAAAAGCCATGGTAGCATTGATGGTTGCACAGATCTATGTGAACATGCTAAAAATGGAAGCCAACATGCAAAATATCTATGTATTTTAGCGTGTATCTATGTGAACACCCTAAAACATGGAAGCCAACATGCAAAATTAACTGAATGCCTTTCCAATTAATAGCACAGTGTGTGTGTGTATGTGTGTGTGTGTGTGTACACGCATGTCCACATGTGGTGGGGCTAGAACCAGGGTCTTGTGCATGCTAGGCAAGCACTCTACCACAGAGCCACATCCCGAGCCTGCCAAGACTTCCTGACTGAGGGTCAGGAGGAATCCAAGGAAACTCCATCCAAATCTGGATGTTGAGGAAGGCACAGAGAAGGAGCCAGCCGTGGTTGAAACAACTGGTTCTCATCCACAGGGTTCTTAGAACTCCAGGTGCAATTTAAGCAAGTCACTTAACCTCTGGGAGAAGTGCTGTCTTAAACCAGAGACTTCAAAGGTCCTTTCAGAATTAGAATAATGTGCCTTCTTTAGGGACATTTTGGCCTCATCACCTTCCAGGATGACAGAATCACCCTTTCAAAATGGAACTCCAAGGGAGACATCAACATCTGTCACACCCCCGTTGTGTGTGGGGCACCACATGTGATTCACCCTTCTGTGTTTCAGAATCACATCTGACTCTCAGAACCATGAGGAACACTATTCCCCCTAATTCACGGAGGAGGTCAGACATTGGTTCCCCACTGAGTGTCTAAGATCCCCCAAGGTGCCATATAATTTGTGTATCTGAATCACCTAGAACACAGTAGGTGCTCAATAAGCATCTGAGGTTGAGGTCATGTGCCAGGATCACTTGGCTAATAAAGCAAGAATTTCAATCTTCCTCCTCCAGAATTAAGCTCTGGTCTATAGACCACGAAGTGCATCTCCCACCCCTTTCAGGCTAGAAATATGCCTGGATCATTCCAGAAAGTTCACTCAAGAGTGCCCCGAAG